GATCAGTTGATCTAGGAGGAGAAGAACTTGGAAAGGGCTGGCCGCACCATTCCTCCAAGTGCTTGCCCAGATACTCCACCTTACCTTGAGGAGTTTCATAGAGGTTACATCAGAGAGTATTCTGAGGAAGTGATAATGAGGCATCCCGTTGACACATGTGCTCATACTGTGCTCAACTATGCGGGAAAGCTAAAGATGGTGGAAGAAGCACGTGAGAACAATCCTTATGAGCAGCCAAAGGATTTGGGTGTGGACTATAGATTTTGGAATGAGTTTCATTCCAACTTTTATGCCTCAGTGATCTTCAACTCCAAGAAGTCCAAGATTGTCAAGATGCAGTACGTTGACTGGGAGGAGATGAAGGGGAAGAATGAGCCTGAGTTCAATAAAGTGATCAAGGCTTGTGAGCTATTTGGCCTGACTGATATCATGAGCTTCTGGTACAATTGGAATGAGGAAGTGCTAGCCTAGTTTCATGCCACCTTCTTCTATGACATCTACATTGATGAGATTCACTAGATGACTGAGGGACGGCATTATAGGATTGACTTTATGACTTTCAGCCGGATCCTTGGTTTTGGAGAGGAGTGGGGCTTCACTTATATTCATGATGAGGCTAGAGCTGAGATCCATGACATTTCATATATGTGGATTGACAGGAGAAGTGCAGATGGTAAGGTCAGTGGCTTGAAGAGCTACTACTACATTTTGAACAATCTGATCAGGCACACAATAAATCCCAAGGATGGAGCAGCTTTAGATCTTAATGGCTATGTGAGGAATGTGCTTGCTAGGTTTGCTGGAGGTGACAGGTTCAATGTCCCTCGCTTCATGCAGCGTGAGCTGAGGAATGCCATGGAGGATGGGAGAAAGGGCCCTATGCCCCCTATCTCATATTCATGATTGAAAGGGTCACTGGTTACAAATTTAATAAAGATGGTCTCTACACCATCTACAAGATTGAGAAGACCCAAGCCTCTGGTGCCAGCTGGGCAGTGAGACGCTCTCCATCAGTTGAGGACGTGCTTGAGTCCTCTCGCTCTAGGCCTCGAAAGGATGGGAAGATGGAGAAGTTTGGGAGATGGATTAAGGCCATTTTCACTACTTGCACCTATGCAACGAGGACCGCATATGAGGACTGGTTGGAAAACTGTGAAGCCAATCGAGAGGCTAGAGAGCGTGCAGAGCTGCCACCTCTTTCTCCTGTATAGTCACCGTCGAGGTTTGACAACCTCCCTAGCCTCTCCAACACAGATTCAGAGATTGATGATGATGAGGAGGAGCAGGAGCAGCCAGAGCTTGACCCTCACACGAGATTGAGCTCCACCTTGCAGTCCATGAGGAGGAGCACCAGGTATGAGCGCCACACTTCGACCACCCATCGCTAAGGGAGGGCGGTGGTGTCCTCTTCCTCCTCCTCCAACAATGACGATGGTGGTGGTGAGGAGGATGTTGCGGGTGCTAGTGGAGTTGCTGGTGGGGATGATGTCGATTGGGACACCATCCAAGAAGATGAGGAGTGAGTATTGGTCTTTCTTCATTTCTTCTCTTTTTGGTGCTTTATGCCAAATGGGGAAAAAATTAGAGGGGTCAACAATTTTTTCGTCATCATGGAGATGAGGTTGCTGAAGTTGGAGCTTCATATTATTATCCGTTTAGAGTATACTTCGTTAGATTGAGAGTTTGAGAGACGATTCAAAACTCTATTTATGTAATAATGCTACATAAGTACTTTATATGTGTGGGATATGGACATGAACTAATCTGTGCTGTAGCTGATGATAAATTTGTGCTAGAATGTATATCTTTATATGTGTTACATGCTGTGTGGTGCCTATTCTTATCTGTGTTGTTACATCAAGTGCGGTAGTGCCGAACTAAGGAGTGGCAGTGCCGCACCCAGCTGGTACAGTAAAACTTGTTGTGCATGAACTGTCATTCGCATCACGTCTACATACCTGACATAGTATGCAGCACCCCACAGGAGCATGGATGTTGGGGGAGCCCCATCACTTTCACTAAAATATGAATCTTGGCTTCTTATGCCAATTTGAGAATTTAATTCTCTATACACACATTTAGGGGGAGGCTCTACATCCATTGCTCGAAAATCTCAGTATTCATTTCATATCTTTTGTAAGCTCTAGTTGGGTTATCATTAATCACCAAAACGGGAGAGATTGAAAGTGTCATCAAGCCCTAATTGTGGGTTTTTGTGATAATGACCATACAATTAGAGAACTAATGAGATTTATCGAGATGACAAGCAGGAAATCTATATTCGAGGATGTTACAAGAAACGGAGGAGCTCCAAATTACAAATGTTGATGGCTTCAAACTCAAAGGAGGTTTAAATTCTTTTATATTATGAATTTGAGTATAAGAAAAGTCGTATTATAAAAGGGACACAATACTTAAGCTAACATATACTACCAAGTGCTCAATCTTACACATACATCCTTAGTTACTCAGCCAAGATAGCCAACACTTCACTCTTACCCATGCTGTCTTGCCTGGTGCGGCAGTGCCGCACCTAGAGAGGCACTGCTGCACTTGAGCCACGGCACTGCCGTGACTTAAGTGATCGTTGGGGCTGGGGGGTACTTATACCTTTCACCTTCCTCCCTAACGTCTCTCTTCTCTCTCCCACTCATTCAGCTCGTCCAAGAACAGAAGAGTGCCCTTCTCTCTCATCCATTGGTGACCTTGAGCTTCCAAGCATTCTCCTTTGATTTTCCTATCAAGCCTTGTGAGAAAAAGGTCCCAAACTCAATTAGAGAGCAGATCCTTTGATTCTCCAACTCAAAAGAGCACTTGGTTCATATTTTGGTTCACGGTTGTGTTTATTACTCTTGGAGCTTGGCTCCTAGTTGGCTAGAGCATCGCCCGTGGAGCTTGCCAACTTGTGTGGCAGCCCCGGGAGGTTTGTAACCATCTCTTGAAGCTAGTAAACTCACCCCTCATCTCAAGAGTTGAGTCTCTTGACTTGAGAACGAGGAAGGGTTGCAAAGCCCTAAACCTTAGTGGCTAACCTCAACAACGTGGACGTAGGCAAGCCTTAGTGGTGAGCTGAACCACGGGTTAAATCATCGTGTCACCTTGTGCTTAATTTACATCATTTGCATTTTATATTGTTGTTGAGGTGATTTCTAGGGTTTGTGGTCGATCTACTTGTGTGTTGTGTTCCTACCACTTCTAGCTCTTGATCTATGAATCTCATACCCATAGGAAGCTAAAAAAATTCTTTGATTCAAGTTTACATTCACTGATTTTTAACTGTGACTCGAAGTTGTCTACAGGTGCGGCAGTGCCGCAAGGTCAGAGCGGCAATGCCGCAAGTTGAATTTGATGAAAGTTTGAGTGTTTGTTTTGACAGGTCTATTCACCCCCTCTAGGCTAACCAGAGATCCTACATAAAATCTAGATAGTACTCAGAATCTCTTATACGCAAAGGAATATGCCTCATGACCCCATAACTTTCTAGAATAACTCTCGAAGGAATCTTTAAAAGCTTATGAGATGGGATCAAAGACTCGTTGGGGCAAAGGTTTTCACCCAAAGCTTTTGAAATAATATTCATCCCAACGGTTGGACAATAGTGAGCCTCTATGGTGGTTTCCTTAAGGACGCAAGGCAGAACATCTGATGGGGCAATGATTCGGGCTACCTCGGTGGATAACTCTATTTCTGCCAACCACTCACGACTCATGATGCCAAGAGTCCTTTGATGTGTTCTACAAGGAAGGACTCATTGTGCGGATCATCATCCTTAGAAGGTGCAGAGTGTAAGGTTTGACTTGAACCGGTAAATTCGAGGCATTACCAAAATCATCAAAAAGATCTTCCTCGAATTCAAAGGGAAATGAAGAGGGATGAGGTTCGTCATCCTCTAGAGTGTGGTGTGTTCCCTTAATAAGGGGCTCTATGGCAACCGAATCATGAGAGGGATTTGAAGGGGTTTCAGATTCGGTTGCGAGTGCCTCCCTTGTTGGTCGGGGCCTGACTCAACTTCTTCATGAAACTCATCATAAATTCCGGTGTAAGGGGTATTTTCAAGGATTTTCTCAAGAATAGCTTTCCCCTCACTGTGTTGTGCACGAATGAGCCTCCAGAAGATATGTCACCGTTTGGCGTCTCTCGGCAGACGAGATGCTCTAGCTCGAGCTGGATCACCGCCACCGCGTTCTGGATCCCGTACGACAGGTTCGGTAGGTAGTACTAGAAGCGGTCGGGCGACAGCACCTCACCGGTGGTAATCTGGTAGTGGACGTTTGCTAATATGTTGAACATCTGGTGGCGCTCCGACATGGTGGGGTTCGGGACCAACCCGAGTCAAATCTGCCGGGCGAGGACCTCGAGATCTGCTCCCAAGAGGCCCGGTGGAGGAGACGATGCCAGGGACTCGTTGTCCACCGGCTCAGCCTCCTTGAGTAGGTGAAACTCGTCGTAGCGGTCGGTGTAAGGTAGGCTCCCAAAAAGTTGTGGACCTGGCCAGGGTTGAAGGCGCCAGCTGTGACGAAGAACTCGTCGGGGAGGCGAACGCCACTGTCTAGTGTGGCGCCACCCGCTCCGCCAGTGAGGCTGGTGGCTCTGACCACCGTAGAGCCTTAATCACACTTGATGCGCTCCTTGACGCACCAGCTGTCGCTAGTTTGTTGCCGCGGCGAGCCTCTCCTAATAAAACTCATATAGAGATATGTATAGAAAGGAAAAGAGATATAAAAAACTCACCTCTCGGCTGTCCTAAAAAAAAACTCACCTCTCGGCTGATCCTTTTTGAGGGATGGGACCCCCGAGCTAGGATCGATCACCGGCAGACCACCCGAGCTGAGCCCCACAAACACCACCGCACCACACATTCACACGGTTTGGTGGTGTGGCGAGGAAGCGCACAAGAACAGAACAAGAAGGCGAGCAACACAGGGAGGGAGGAGAGGAACGGGGAGCTGGAAAAGGTAGAAAAGACCCGGCTTTTGACCCCAAGTCTTCGGTTCCCGGCAATGGCGGCCACCTCCGAGGAGGCCATCAAGCAGTTTTCTGCCTTCATGGAGCAGCGTGAGTCCTCTGTTCTTGTGCTCGTCTTCTTTGCAAAGAACTAGGAAAAGATCCATCTCTTTTTTTTCTCTGGCTCGGGTTTCTTGGCCACTGAACTGCGGCAATTTCTTTCTTGCAGTGGAGGAGCCGCTCAAGACCACATTCCAGGTGTCGATCTGCTCCACTCGCTGTTCGTCTGTTCCTGATGGATCTCTGCCGTTTTGTGACTGATTTGGTTCTGGTTGCTTTCTGAACGAAAACCCCTGCAGATTTTGCGCGTGTTTCGAAGTCAAGTTTTGCTTTAGTTCTCGCATTTTTTGCTGATTTAGGTGCTCCCGAGCGCTTCTTCATTAAAAAAAAATCTGAAGAACTGCGAGTTAGTCTGTTGTCCTGTTAGCTGCGTAGGGCTTAGATCTTTGAATTTGATTATGTCCAGAGCTCAATTTCGCTGACCTTTTACTGTCGATCCTGTTGGAATTTCCATCAAATTGAAAATTTCGCGTGCTTTAATTTCTCTTATTTCCTGCCCCCGCTACTTCTTTCTGTTATTTGGTCCGGTGTACACCAAATTTGGGTCTTCGACTCATTTTGATTCTTTTCATGAGAGAAGCTCATTTTATGGCTTGAGCTCAAGAATGCTTTTTGTCAGTGCTCATTATTTCGAGTTTTCGGCAGAGATAGAATTTTGGTCTTTTCCCCACTCGACTTTCTTGTGGATTGAAGTGATTTTGAGTTCTCAACTTGGTGCTTTACAGAGCATCTTTTTGTTGCCGTAAAGCTTAAACTTGTTCTGTGTTAGAGTGTTTTTGCAACAATCAATTTTTTGCTTTCAGAAACACCTTTACGATTTCGAAAATGAACTTTTCCTCTTGTTTGGGTTGCATACGGAGATATTTGTTTCGATATGTCACGAGGTATATAAATGAAAGTAGTACCTCTGGTTGGGTCCTGACTGCAATTTTTGGTGCAAGTTGTGGTGTCGGTGCCGTCTACTGTTCCCAGTTCGCCATTTGGAGCCCAAATACTCCTTTTCTTCTTGTTTGACTCGCAACTAATTTCGGTCTAGGCTGCCGGCTAGGGGGCCGTCTAGACTTCCTACTTTCTAAGCATGTGTTAGCATGCTAGAAATATTTTAGGGTCAGGTATTCCCAAGATTATATAAAGTATTGATTAGGTGTGTTGCATGCTGAATTAGTCTTTTAACCCATGGGAGGACTCTGTCCAAGCTTGTAGTTGGGTGGTGCACACACTGTGTGGATCTCACCTAGCACGAATCAATCGCCGAAGAAATTTCTATTGTTTGATTTGGACGTGTGCTGATGAAGGTGGACCTGGATGTTGACGTGTTCCTGAACATCTGTGGCCTGGACTGTTCCTGGTGGAGACGTTTCAATTGCAGATTCAGACTTTTATTTGGTCCTTAAGTCCTTGTTATGACTCATGATTAATGTGACAAAGAGCATGGTTGATCTCAGGACTGACGACGTGTGTGGTTGTGCAACCACTCTGGAATCAGAATATGCCCCACTAAGAAACAATGTTTTTCTTTCTTTTTTATGTCAACCTGCTGGCATCACAAGACTGTGGTGCTGCATTCTGTTAGCTTATGTATTTTTCACCACATGTCTGTTGCAATTTGTTGTTTAGTTTTATTATTTACTATTGATCTTGTTCTTTTCATCAGTAGACAGCATTTTTTCTGTTGACACTTGATATTATATTTTTAAAAAACAAATAATATGACCAAAAAGTGATTGGTTAGATATGTTTGCAGAATGTGCATCAAGGAAATCTGAGAGGGACTTTGGTGCGTTTTCTGAAGGCTAGAGAATGGAGTGTCCCTAAAGCTCATAAAATGGTAAGTCACTGGACCTCCTTTTGCGTCATCTACAATCTACATTCAGGTTGAGGGGTTTCCCTTGGGAAGAACTGATGAGATATCTGATTGTTTGCTGCAGTTAATGGATTGCTTAAACTGGAGAGTACAGAATGAGATTGACAGCGTGTTAGCTGTAAGTAGCTTTTTTAGTGTATACAGTCTTTTTTTTTCTTTTGAAAAAGAAAAGTAGATTGGACTGCCAGAATGCCAACAAATGACTTGGGATATGTTTTGTAGTGATCGCATATCTTCACTTTTCCCTGCATATTTTTTACATTGGTAGCAGGTTTTTTTTTTGAAATATTGTTTCTAATACCAATATATGCGGCCCTTTTTTATGATTTAACTCATGGTATTCTTCTGACTAGCATTACAATTTGTTTTTGATACAGAAACCCATTCTGCCATCTGATTTATATAGAGCCATTCGGGACACGCTACTTGTTGGATTGACAGGGTACTCCAAGCAGGTACAGTGATCAGATTCACATTTCTCATGTTAGCAATGTTAACAATGTTATTGATATGATATATGCTTTTACTAATCACTTTTGCTACATCCATTGTAATATTCTATTTTCGCCCTGACATGATTGCAAAAGTGATCTATTCATTTCTCAGCAGTTTGCTACTTTGTTTCCTCTGTAGTGAGAAGGACTTTTTATTATATGCTTTAATTTGTGCCCCTCTCCTTTTTTTGTAGGGACAACCTGTTTATGCATTTGGTGTGGGTCTTAGTACTTTTGACAAGGCCTCGGTAGGTTAACTGTCCTTGGAAAAAGAATTAAAGCTATGGTTTAATTTGAAAGAATAGCAAGACATTCAATATCATATCTGAGTCAGTTTCATATATATCTTGATTTTGTTTGCTGTATGTCTGGCAATGAAGAAAACCTTTATTTTCACTAAGTTTACTATGTAATAAAGGATACACAACTTTGTCTTGATTTGTAGGATCAATATCAGTATTACTCATTTTATGGATATGGCAGACTATTTTTCCATAGAAATAAGAGCTCTCTAAATTACCTCACCCAATTTTTCTTAGGTGAACTATTATGTGCAGTCACACATACAGATGAATGAATATCGAGATCGTGTTGTCCTGGTAAGTGCTTTCTTATGGGGGTTTTCTCGACCGCGGTCATATGGTCCCTTCTTAATTATAATGCCATGGGGGTGGTTCTTCCCCCACATGTTGAGTTTTTTTTATTGATGATTGATGGTACCAAATTATGGAATAGAGAGTAAATATATTCTGTGTTCTTTATAGCCGGCTGCATCAAAGAAGTTCGGGAGACAGATTAATACCTGCTTGAAGGTTATGGATATGACTGGCCTGAAGCTGTCTGCACTGAGCCAAATAAAGGTGAGCACAAAATCCTCTATTTGTTAAAGTTCTGTGGTCATCTGAATGATAATTTTTTTTATCGCATTTCAGATTCTTTAAGGAATTAATTGGCTTAGTATAGTGGAAGTGGAAATTATTCAAAAAAATCTACCTGTGATGGGGTTTATTTCTCTAAATTGAAACTGAATCCTGAGATTGAGAAGCAATTATAGGTAGTTGCGACTTCATATCCTGGTTATCTAATAAATGTTCCACCATTAGGATGGTGAGTCTAGATCAGTTTGTTAAGGGTGTGAGCATCCCCAAGTTCAAGTCCTTGCCTAGACCGTTTCACGTTCCTCTGTCTTCTTAATATAAAGCCACCTAATTCTGCATAGGTTGGTCTCTTGGAAATTCATCTGTAGGTGAAAGTGACTAAATTACTAACTGCATTGCAACAATAAGAACATGTGTGATTGTAAAACTCAAACAGTAAAAGAAGAGAAATCTTTATTCGAAATTTGTTCCAGCATGGCTATTCTAGACTTCTCCTGTCCATCACTGTGTAGACACTTGTTCATGATTATGTTTATAGGCTGGGTGTCTTCGTACTAGTGCAGAAGTAGAATGCACAATTATCTCATTGTTCAATCATAACCTAGAGAGTTCCAGTTTAACAATAAATGAGTTTGGTAGATCTTGAACTCAGGATTGACTTCTGAAATTATTTAGGAGCTTAAGCGTTTATGCCCCCATTTTGAAGCGAAATGGTGGTTTTGCCCTCGTTTTTTTAACCTTGTGATTTTACCCCTGCGATTTCAAAATTAAGAGAGACTTTGCCCCTATTCTGTTAAGTCCACCTAATGGTGTTAACTTTTGTACAAAAGCACAAGTTTGCCCATGCATTTTTACCCCTGTTTTATTTCGATATTTATGTTTGTACCCCTATTTTCAGATCAGCGTTTTGGCAATTTGGATACAGAATTTGACAATTCAATCAGTGCAAAATTCAACAATTTTTAGAAAAAAATCGACAACATTTCAACTAATAATCCATAAACACAAATTAATATCACACATGTTGCATTAATGGCAACACACCAGGTCACTTTAGTATGTCTAGATGCCATGTCAAATACCATTATACAGTACCATATTACATGCCAACATAGAGGTCCAAATGACATGTAAAGCACCAACATACAGGTCCAAATGACATGTGAAACAAAAGTAGAAGCTAACTGCTAATATCTACGTGTCAGTTTCCACACACCACAGGTTGAACTGCCTACATAGTGGGTGCTTTTAGTATACCAAGAAAAGATTTGTCGCTTCCAATTAATAGAAACCAAAACAATAATGGATTTACAGCTGTAGCCTAGTGGGTGCTATCAGTACACCATGCAAAATTTGTCGATTCTGGTTTAACTTAGACCAAAGCCGTTACAGAACTTCAGCTCGAACCTACAGTTAAGTGATGTTCTGCAGACATAAGATAAATTTCAACAGATAGTTAACGAATCACATAACGAAATGCTCCCCCAAGTATCTTATACCCCATGATTCCGAATCAAACTACCTTCAAGCAAGTAGCAACGACACAACAAGCACCAAATGAGCAACAGATCAGAGAGGGGATCAGCTGGGAATCTCACCTCCGTCCCAGGGTGAACCGTCCTGCCGCCAGGGCCGTGCCGCCATTTTGACGCCAGCCGGTGAAATAGCAGTTACTCTGTGTGCGCAGTCCAGCGAAAGGAGAGAGGCAATCTGCTGCTGAGGGTATTGTGGTATTTTCATGTGGGTATTTTTTTTATTTTTTATTTTTTTGGCCATTTTGTCCTCCCAGGCTAAATGGTGTGATAAAGTAGGGGTAAACGATAGTCCTCCTAGACTACAAAACGAGCGGTGAGTGAGGCAAAGGGGCGGGCCTATGAGGACCTTTACCGACGTTTGAGTACGAAGGAAGGAGAGAAGGATATTTATAGGATGGTTAGGGCTTGCGATAGGAAGACAAGGGACTTCAACCAAGTCAACTGCATAAAAGGATGAGAGGGAGCAGCTCTTGGTGAAGGAGGATGAGATCAAACATAGATGGCAAGAGTATTTTGATAAATTGTTCAATGGTGAGAACGAGAACACCACTGTTCAGCTGGACGACTCGTTTGATGACACTAATAGGCGCTTTGTGCGGAGGATTCAAGAATCGGAGGTTAGAAAAGCCTTGAAAAGGATGAAAGGGGGCAAAACGATGGGCCCTGATGGTATCCCAATCAAGGTGTGGAGATGTCTCGGGGATATAGCTATAGTATGGCTAACCAAGATGTTCAACAATATCTTTCGATCGAACAAGATGCTTGAGGAGTGGAAAAGAAGCATAGTGGTACCAATCTACAAGAACAAGGGAGATATCCAAAGTTGTACTAATTATCTGGAAATTAAGTTGATGAGCCACACTATGAAGTTATGGGAGAGAGTCATCGATCAGCACCTGCGAGGAACGACGCAGATATCAACAAACCAATTTGGTTTCATGCCCGGAAGGTCAACCACAGAAGCAATCTTCTTAAGGAGACAAGTTATGGAGCGGTTTAGAGAGCAGAAGGACCTCCACTTGGTTTTCATTGATTTGGAGAAGGCTTATGACAAGATACCAAGAAATGTTATGTGGTGGTCTTTGGACAAACATAAAGTCCAATCAAAGTACGTGACCCTCATCAAGGACATGTACAACAATGTTGTGACTAAACGATGGTAACACAGATTACTTCCGATTAAAATTGGACTTTATCAAGGGTCAGCCTTAAGCCCGTATCTCTTTGCCTTGGTAATGGATGAGGTTAACAGGAACATACAAGGGGATATCCCTTGGTGTATGTTGTTCGTTGATGATGTAGTGTTAGTGGACGAAAGCCAGGCGGGAGTAAATAGGAAACTAGTGTTATGGCGGCAGACCCTTGAGTCTAAAGGTTTTAGATTGAGCAGAACTAAAACCAAATACATGAGATGCGACTTTGGTGGAGTTATACAGGAGGAGGGAGATATTGATGCGAACGTTAGCCATAGAATCAAAGCAGGGTGGATCAAGTGGCGACAAGCTTCTGGCATTCTCTGTGACAAGAGGGTACCACAAAAGCTAAAAGGCAAGTTCTATAGAACGGCGATTAGACCGGTTATGTTGTATGGAGCAGAATGTTGGCCTACAAAGATTCAACATGTTCAACAACTGAGTGCTGCAAAAATGTGTATGTTGCGATGGATTTGCGGTCACACAAGAATGGATTGAGTTTGGAACGATGATATACGTGATCGCCTAGAGGTAGCATCAACTGAAAAAAAACTTGTCCAACATCAGTTGAGGTGGTTTGGCCATGTCCAAAGGAGACCTCCAGAGACGCCAGTGCATTGTAGAGTCCTAAGCCAAGCTAATATTATAAGGAGAGGTAGAGGAAGACCGAAATTGACATGGGGGGAGGCAATAAAAAGAGATTTGAAAGCTTGGAATATACCTAGAGATCTATGTTTGAATATGAGTACTTGGAAAGCAGCTATTGAAGTGCCTGAACCGTGACTTGGGGCTCTTGGTGGGTTTCAACTCTAGCCTACCCCAATTTGCTTGGGACTGAAAGGCTATGTTGTTGTTGTAAAATCACAAAGTTAAAAAATTGGGGGTAAAATCACCATTGAAGTTGGGAGTAGTGGCAAAAACACCAAATTCCCAATTATTTAGTTTCATGCATCTACAAATCATCCAAATGTTGTGCGCAGAGTTACTTTATTGGCATTAGACAACTTGAATATTGTGCATACCTCTTGTATAGTATCCTGAAGCCTACAGGGACACAAGTTTTGCTGCGAATTACAGCACACAACAGTGGTCAGGTGTAATATTGATTGAAACATGCCATTTGAAGTAATCAAATGACTTCGTTTTTTTATATTGTATTGACTGTATTTTCTGTGAGGACACAAAAAAAGAACTAAATTACTATTCTTGCTTTCTAAACATTACATTTCAATGTTGAAACTAACAATTATGCCTAATTTTCTTGAACAGACTTGCTGTATTACAAGATATTTTTTTTGTCTAAGTTGAGATTTTTTCCTCTTTCATGAAATTCTTGAAATATTCCCTAAAATATGATCATATATGTTATTTCTTCACTCCCCCTACTTTCTCCCTATTTCTTTGAAATAAGTTACATGCATGGAGACACATGCTGAGACATGAGATTCGAAAGTCCTGGGACGTATATATAACATGAGTCATGAGATAATATAAAAATTGGAATGCCAATTTATATATTCATCATATTCAAATAGTTGCATTGGTCGAACAGCCTGAATATCCAATATAAGTACTGCATCTGGAGCATATTTTGATTGTTAATTGAACAAGGGCTGTCAAATGAAATTTGCAGCTCAGATTCATTGGTTGAAGTGCCACAATGTAATGAAAGATACTCTTGAGCAGTTTAGTGTGTAGTTTTCATGCATGATGCATCCTTTGCCTGAGGCGTAGCTTGGTAAGAATCAAAACAGTATTTGATTCATTGTGTCATTATTTCTGCTGTTGTTTGTGCATTTCTTATTTTTCAATCATATATGCTTATATTGCTTACAGGTTGCAGTAACACTTGTCCATATTTCCCCATATGCAGATGTTGACCATGATTACAACTGTTGATGACCTTAATTATCCTGAGAAAACGGAGACTTATTACATTGTGAATGCTCCATATGTTTTTTCGGCATGTTGGAAGGTCAGTGTGCCTGTTTAAAAATTCATAAGTTGCCTTGCTATCATGTTGTATATACATTTGTTATTTTATTTGCTCTCTTTTGGTTTGATATTTTCTTTCTCGCACATTCATTTTTTCTAGTTTATTAAATCAATTGATGTTTTGTTTATTCATGGCCAGGTTGTGAAGCCACTTTTACAAGAAAGAACTAAAAAGAAGATCCAAGTCCTGTATGGCTCTGGGAGGGACGAGTTACTGAAGGTAAAGATTCTTAATTTACTTCCCTTTAATTTGGAAGCAGTATCTGTTTTTCTGCCATAAGTTCCCATTGGTGTGTTTTAGATTCCTGTTCGAAATGTTGAGCTTTAACGTGAACCTTGAATTGATTATGTAAAGCATCAGAAAAAAAAGTTGTTGCTAACCATTCTGCTCTGGAGCTTATAGGTGCCTCTTAGCTGCTCATTTTGGTACAATAATTGGTCCTCTGACTTAACAAGTACTGGAAACAACTTCGCATCTTTTTTAGATTTTGGGCTGCAGTTAGCCATTGTTCATTATTACATCATCACAGCCATTGGCTCATAAAATGTAATGAAGCCTTATCCACGGCAAAGCCTGTTCTAAAACTGACACCAATGGTGATGAGTGAGTTCGATGGCTAGTGCATTCCTAGTTTCTAGTGATCTCCAAAATCAAGAGTGTTCCATCATTTGATTTGCATGTTTTTGACTGACAATGTTGATGGTCATCCGCAGGTTATGGACTACGAGTCACTTCCGCACTTTTGCAAAAGAGAGGGATCAGGCTCATCCAGGGACTCTTTAGATGGAGTAGATTGCTACTCGTACGATCACCCTTTTCACCAGCAGCTGTACAACTACATGAAGCAGCAATCTCTGAATCAGGACTCTGTTGGTCCCAGAAAACAAGGCTCAGTCCATGTGGATGTGCCTTCACCTGGCCTTGAGGAGGTCAAGATTGCGGAGACAATCAAAGCAGAGATCCAGAATTTGAGGGGAAGCAATGGTCTCACTCATTCATTCAACAGCATACAGATCGAAGGTCCATGAGGGCGCCAAGCTTGAGAAGCGGCCGCGCCTGAGACAGTGGTCCAAAGAGAAGCTCTGGTTATCTGGACCCCAGGAACCTATGCTGTGGTGGTAATAGTGCCTCTTGCTTGCAATCACTGGCTGCTGGCTTGATCAGGGCGAATAGAGAGCGTAGTAGAGAATGGGATTCTAATAACTGTATCCGAGATTGTTATGGTTTCTAATTAACCTAGTGACTAGTGAGTATGTATTCTCATGCTTTCGGCATGGAAATGTGATGTTTCCAACCAGGAAAGCTACTGGCTTGTACTATCTGTGTATGCATGTATATATGACGGCCAACTGGATGGAGTTGTGTATGTAAGGAGACTTTTTTTTTAGAACGTATATGCAAGGAGACTTGTACTCCCTTCTAATCACTTAGGGTTCAAGATGGCAACGGGTACGTACCCGATGGGTACTGGCCACCCGTACTCGCACCCGTCAAATCAAAATCTTACTCGTCGGGTTACCCGTACCCGTAGACGGGTAGAAAATTCATTCCATATCCGCACCTGACGGGTAATTCTTACCCGACAATATACCCGACATCATACATCAAAATATAATAGCTTCTAGCAAAACAAATCAATAATAGAGCAGCAAAACAGAAATATGGGCTGGTGGAGTGGAGTGAGGATGAGGATTAGGGTTTGAGGGAGTTCTAGAATATATATACTCATATGCTTATATGGGCCAAATATGAGCTATTTGCTTATATGGACTAAAATTGCAGATGTTGGATATTATTTATGCAGGTTTTTTTACTCACGGGTATGCGGGTATGGGTAGTATACACCCACACCCGTACCCGCATACCCGATGGATACAAGAATTCGTCAATAACGTATCCGCGGGTGCAAAATATCTTCTATACTCGCCTCCTTATCGGGTAAAACCCGTCGGGTAGTCGGGTTTCGGGTACCTGTTGCCATCTTGACTTAGGGTGCTCATCGTTTACTCCAAAATTGCATTGAAAATCTGCTTGCAATCTTCGGTGTCTGTTCCTCAATTGATGTACCCTTGGGTAACCGAAAAGTGATGCTTTAATTCTGGAACTGAACGGCTGTAGTAATAGCTAGTGCAACAAAGTGGAATACGTTCCGCAACCATGCATCCATAACCGCTCCGGACCGGCATGGAGGCCACCCTGCAGTTACCGTGGAACGTCTCTAACACCAGTTGTTGACGTCCTGCATAAATCTGCGCCTGCTTCATAGTCTCACTCTCCTGTGCCGGTCTGCCACGAGCGTTCACGAACTTGTGCAACTGCCTGAGGTCAAGGTTTCTTCCATCTCTGCAGGGAGATCAAATCAGACAGGGCAAGGCCATGGAGCCAACGGCGATCGTGACGGTGACCGGAGGCGTGCTGGGCCCAGTGTTCGTGCTCGTGTCGCGCATCCAGCCCGTCGTCAACTTCTTCCGCCATCTTTGCGATTGCCTCCGCCATCCTCTGCCAGGCCGCTGAGGGCGCCATGGTATAAGCGTGCAGCGGCAGAGGAGTAGAACACATCTGTCACCTGTGTCTGCACCCACCCAACTGGTCTTCGATCGTGTACCGTGTACCATCACCTTTATTAGGTAGATGCACACAATCTACACACTTCATATTCACACCATACGCACACACACGTGTACATGTCCGTACACATGCAAAGAAGATATTGTGATTTTTTTATCGGGTACAACTTAGACACACACAGTCCACATTCACACCACACGCACACACGTGTGCGCGTCTGTACATACGCACAGAAGAGATTTGGGAGGCTCTCTGGCCTCCAGTGCGCGGGATACGCGTACTACCACCAAACACGTATGCGTCCGTATACCCTACAGGTACGGTACCAGGATTTAAACCCTGCTGGGTAGCACGGGGCCATAGGCCTATTCACGTCACCTCTAGTACTTATCCAAATCAAATCAAACCGTTTGAAACGGAAGCGACCGTTGACCGATCGAATTTGTAGACATGTTGAATTTTCATCTACGGGTACTGAGAACCTTCCACGAATCACCAAGTTCATATCATGTTCGTGGGGATTCTTTCCTTAGCTCCTTTCTCCCCTTGGAACTGCATGCGTTTGTGCATCTGTAGGTCTGGACAAGCGCATGCTCGTAAAAAAAAAGGGTCTGGATAAGCGCCACACTGATGACTGATCCTAGGTGCTGTTTCGTTCAAAAATCATAACAAACGTCAATATAATTAGAAACCACTGCTATTGGTAACAAAGTAACAAATCACATATTTTGTTTGGTTTTGAAGCCGTAACGTAATGAAAAACCAGAAGTTGCCATCGGAGGTAGGATGTCTAATGCGAGAGTTCCCACCAGGTTACAACTGAGCAACTAAACCTATCGGAGTGTTTTCCAAGAGGTTAAATTTTAGACTGTCATATCAAATTTTGATACTAATAAGGAGTATTAAATATAGGTTAATTACAAAACTAATTACATAGATTGAGACTAATTTGCGAGACGAATCTAAGCCTAATTAGTCTATGATTTGACAATGTGGTGCTACAGTAAACATTTGCTAATGATGAATTAATTAGACTTAATAGATTCGTCTCGCTAATTAGTCTACTCCTATACAGTTAGTTTTATAACTAACTATGTTTAATTTTATAGTTAATATCCGAATGTCTGCGTCTTCTACGACAAGCAGTGCGCCGTGCTGCAAGAGCCTGTGTACCCGTCGTCAGTGGCAGCCCGGAGTTGCACTGCTGCCGCCCTGAGCCCGATGCAGAGCACATGCCATATGGCTGCCGTCGCAGATCCAGTTGCCACCAAAAGCCATATGCTGTTCTTGCTGATGAACGGGGCATTAGAGCCTCGCCATCGGCCATTTGTGCGGGTGAGTGTGCTTCCTCAGCGCGCTTGCGGGTAGCGACGAGGTGGAGCGAGGGGGCCGCTCGTCACTGTCGGGATGGTGTGGCGCTATGGTCGGGAGCCGCAAGGGATGGGCTATCCGATCAGGTGATTACAAATGGATGGTAAGGGTATCAATTTTGTATGAAGATATCCGACTACGGGACTTATTACAGTGGCGGTGGAAACAAACGTGATTTAACGTAAACGCTTAACACTGTAAATACATTATGCTACGTAGAACCGAACCAAATGCTTTGTAGACTAAGTATAATACTACTCTCTAACCTCTATGGTAAAAAGGAATTTGATTTTTTATCAAAATCTGGTCAAATTTGTAAAATTATGACCTTCAATAATTTTTTAATAGTTGATTTAAAACATAAAAAATCATATGAGTAGTAGATCTATTTTCAAAAGTTCAAAGCTAAAACTCGAAAACATAAAAATCTATGATGTCATCTTTTTTTGACTATAGTGGTAGTAGTATTGGTGTCACATCCTAATGGGTTGTTCCTAGTGGTAGAACTTTCATCCTCCACTGCATAATCTCATAAGCCCCTTTGTAACACCATAGGGGGGTCCGGATCTGGAGAGGTGCCAGAGGTGCGATGGCCAAGGCCCAGGCCCAGGTAGAGCACTCCAGGGCCTAGGCTCAACTCGATCAGCCGATCACCGTAGCCGATTATTACTTCATCGATCATCAGTTCATCAGTCGCCGATCAGGCCCTATCCCCTAGGTATTTTTTCCTTGATCGTTTCTAATCCAAATAAATTATTTCAGACTTCTAGTACTCGGTACTCATATAGTCGTTTTTTTCTTCTAATTGAGGCATTAGAATCTTAGAATGTTACCTAAGCAACATTTATCGGGGGCTCAGAAAAGAAAACAGAAAAAACTAGAAGATCAATTTATTGAATCTCAAAAAGATGCTCTAAATAAGTTTTTTTCAGCTTCAAGCAGTGTTATGCCTAATGATAATCCTGTAAATGCACTTGATATTGAAGAACAAGGGCAGCAACAAGTTAATGATAATTTAAGTGAACAAGTTGATGTCAATGATGATGCTACAGAGAATGAAAATTTACTAGCTTCCTCTTGACCTAAAAATTCAATTGATATAGAGCCAATATTTCCTACAAAACGTCAACGAAAGAGAAAGAAACAATGGATATCGGTGCCGTTCGCTTGTCTGGTTTCCAGACCAGTCGACTGGTTCCTCCTCACAGCGGCACTATTCATCAACCAGCCGCTACAGTGTTTTTGCTTCTTTTTTCCATACAAGCGAATGGGGCAATTATGAGAACTAATGGATATTTTGGCGTTCTATTCTTCCTTAAGGTAATCATATTAGTTTCAGTCTACATTGTTCCTCGACACTTTGTTTTCGCTTAAATGGATATTACCACACATGTTAAATTAAAAATATTATTGGATTTGTTTTCGCTTTGCAAGAAAAATTATCGCTTATATATATTATAAGATTTATATATAGTCTAGAGGGCAATCCCTACGAGTTCACCAGAGGGCCTTCAAAATCAGTGCCGGCCGTGGAGAGGTGCCAGAGGTGCAACTGCTGAGAGCCCATGGGTGGGAGGGGCCCAGGCCCAAGTATATGATACCCCCAGCCCTTAGTACGTACGCGTACTCGAGCGAATGTGAAGAGCCGATGAGGTAGAGTCACGCAAGACTCACGGAGTGACGGAGCCGCCGCTGATTCGACTCGCCGCTCTCAGAGACACAGAATGGATCAGCAACGCGCACGGCAAGGCGGCGATCAGGGCAGACCGACAGAGCACTCCAGAGCCCAAGCTCGACTCGATCAACCAATCACTGCAGCCGATCATCACTTCATCAATCATTAGTTCATCAGACGCAGATCGGGCCCTAGCCCCTAGGTATTTTGTTCCTTGATGGTTTTTTAATCCAAATAAATTATTTCAGACTTCTAGTACTCGGTACTCATATATTCGTCTTTTTCTTCTAATTTAGGCATTAGAATCTTAGAATGTTACCTAAGAAACATTTGATGGGGGCTCAGAAAAGGAAACGGAAAAAACTAGAAGATCAATTTATTGAATATCAAAAAGGTGCTCTACATAAGTTTTTT